AGTAGCACTGTCAAAATGAAGGCTCCCATCTGAGAATGGCGATACCTGTTTGCTGGTCCTCCAGCATCTGACTACATCACTTGGTATAAATGAAGGTGACATAACCAACAAGGTGGAGGGTTTCTTATTTTCCTGCGCAGTGAGCTCCTGTCCTGTGCAAAGCAGGAACCAAGGCCACCGCCTTCAGACAGATGAGAGCATCACGCCCCCTAACAAAATACGGCTAAAGCATTCAACCAGCGACAACTGGAACCAGTCTCAGATCCTTCATGGTACCTGAGAGACTTCACTCTCCCTTCTGCTTCATGGACACGCAGTTTAGCTGCTGGATTTAAATACGGGAAGATCAACACTTCCCATGACGGATACATATGGCAGGAGAGAGGAAGGAGATACGACCTGAGAAGTCCTTACACGGCACCGCAGGGACACAGCGCCGCCTGAACGGCTCGCAGGGAGCAGGGCTGTGTGGGCCCCGCTCTCAGCTGCCCGCCAGGGACAGGCAGGCTTGAAAACAAAACAAAATCCACCGCAGCCCGGAGACCCCACACCAAGCCGGGGCCTGTCGAGGCGACGCCAGGCCAACCTCGGTTTCTCCTCACACACAAGTCCCCCGCTCCAACCGCCGCCCGCCGCTTCTCCCGCCGCATCCCATCTCCTGAGGCGGCTGGCAGGGAATGCGTGTGCGGGGCGGCCGAGCCCGACGCTGGGTCTCCCGCAGAGCTCTGCCAGGGCAGCCTGCAGAGCGCCGCCACGGCTCCGGCCCCTCCCGCGCCTCCCTCACTCACCCGCTGCGCCTTCTCCCAGATCTGGTTCAGCCTCACCACCCGGAACTCCCCGGCCTCCCGCCGCTTGGCGCCGGCGGCCGCCAACCCCTCGTTGGCCTCCCGAGAGTACTTGCTGGCCTGGGCGCCAGCGGCAAGGAGGAGCGCGGCACCCAGAACCGCCAGAGCCCGCGGCGCCGCCATGTCGCGCTGGACGCGGAACTACACGTCCCGAGATGCCGCGCGGCTTCCTGCCCCAGGGCCCGGCGGGGCGGCGAGGGGCCGGTTGTGTCGGGAAACGGGGTAGGGCCTGGTGGCGTGGGTAGAGTTGGCCTTGGGCTCTTTCTCTTCAAGCGGGTTCGTGCCATTCTCCTGAACGTTTGCTTCACAAAATGTGGGAATACACCGAACGCGGCAGTTCTTGCGAGTGGTTTTTTTCGCAGCCTGTGGTGACTGCGGTGAACGCGCTCCTGCACCCTGTGTGTCCCTCCCTCAGCGAAGTGTTGCTGTCAGCTGTGTGAGGAAAAGGGAACACGATGGGTTTAAACACCACACCTTTGATCGAACAAAGCTTTCAGGCGTTAGCACGATGTTCAGTAGTATACATAAAACGAAAAGGTAGCTCAGGCAGGGTGGAAGGCAAGAACAGGGACCAGCGCCCCAGTACTCCCTATGAGAGGAAGGACTCTGGCCCCCCTTGGAGGTGGTAGCAGAGGACACCTCTGCCCAGGACAGCACGTAGTGTTTGATGGTATGGGGAGACAGAGGATTGTGAGAAACGTAATAATGAGTACACTGGGTTGTTATCAAGGGGTGAGCTATGGGAATGACCCTGAAGTTGGTGGTGTGTGCTGAGGGCGGCTCTTGGGCAGGAGTGCCCCGTCCTGCACAGCACCAACCTCCCTTCCCAGGGCTTCCTCCTCAGTCAGGCAGCCAAGAAGTCCGTTAGGCACGGGAAACCTTTGATTAAGTCAAGCTGTTTAAGAAAAAAAACCAAAACCCAACATAATACTGCAGAAATGCCCAATATTTTATCAAGGGTTGGTATATATCCTCCCTGATTTTAAAAAAAACTGCATTAAAATTGAATGCTGCTGTGAAAGAAGTGCAGGAGATGCAGAACAAACTCCATGTGGGTGTTTCTGATGGGAAGGTGGTGAAGAAAACAGTTCCTTCTCTCCTTGATGAATCCTCTTCACACTGCACAGCTTGTGTAGTAGGGGGTCTTTGGCATAGTTGGGCATTTTTGTGTTGAGTTTGTTTAGCAAGGCCGTGGTGTGGTTACTTTCCTCAGCCTAGCTGGTGGTGGAGGCAGAAGTTCACTTCATAAACTCACCTCAGATCTCATGTGTGACCTTGAGCAAATTAAAGCGTAGCTCTGCAGTACTGTCAACACCAAGCCTTCATGCATTATAAATCAGTCCTATGAAAACAAATAGATTGCCTGCACTATAATAAGATTTCTGAAAACAGTGCCCCAGGGAGGATTCTAACTGGACTCTCATTTTTGCCTTGTAAGCATTATAAACATCTTGTCTTTTCTCTTTCACATTTTCCTAAATCAATGCAGAGATTCTCAATCATATAAACCTAGAAGCTGTTGCTATAAGACTAAATTGCAGAAGTAGGCAAAAGTATTGCGATGTACATTGCATTGAAGAGCAACTGAAGTGAACACTGAAGTCTAGCAAAAATGATGGGAAAAGAAGCCCGCCAGCCTTACCCAAATCTTGCAGAGCTCTCCACATCAATTTTAGGATTTAGATCTTGTTTTAGTCTCATTGTTACTGTGTATATATGTATTGTTGAGTCATTTGGAACAGATGGTTTCATCTTGTCATTTGAAATATTGATTGAGTTTTCGGGCTTTGCAAATAAATTAAACATCCATGCAATATAAACTCCTACAGATCATATAGCTATATAAACTCTTACATTACAATATATAAACTCTTACAGTTGCCACTCTTTTTCTTGTATTGCATGTAGTTGTGCATAGCTTTATGCATTTGTTTGCTTGCATTTTTGAGCTACACTGGGAAAATTTTTAGAAGCAGGTAAGGGATGCAGCACCATTAGTTTTCTTATGCTGGCTAGTTGGATCTCATTCTTCAGTGCCATTACATCTGTGTCAAGTAATCACTGCTTTGTATTTTTCTGTATGTCTTGGCCCAGGTGCTTGACTCTGACAAGTAAAAAGCCAAAATAACTCTTGGGACTTCTGTGTAGAGACTTTGGATTTACACTGGTGTTGACGAGGCCAAGCTCATCATAGAGTGCACTTTAGTGTAAATAAGAAACATGCAGTGGGAGGTCATGGGAAATCAACTCCATCATTTCCCGTTCCTATGTGCTTTGGGTCAAATTCTCCCTTCATTTTTCCCTAGCATAGTTGAAAAGCAGCTCAACTGAATCACTGGAACCGTGCCAAAACTGATATAAGCCGTGGAAGCGCTGCGGGCTCTTTTGTTTGCATTGTTCCAGAGGGCTGTAGCTGAGTTGATGTGTCCATTGCTTTTTGTGTGTTCATTCTTTATTATCCTTATTAAAAAAGAAACATTAACAAAACATGATGTAGACCACATTCAGAAGTCTGTCTTCTGCTCTCTGCTCACTTGAAAAACAAAATTAGACAAATTTGAAATGAGGATGACATTGCAAGGCAGTAAAAAGATCAGAGAAAGTCTTAGTTAAAAGAAAGAAGGAAGTCTAATGGCACTTATGGAACAGTGCAGGCTTCCTGGTAGAATAAAAGAGAAGAGGACTTTGAAGCTGATGTTCAGAGGCTTGAATGTGATTCAAATACATTCTTATGAGTACAGTGCCAGGAGACCTTTTCCTTCAAGAGTCAGTGTAAGTTCTGGATCGGCTTCTTCTGTTTTCAGTTTTAACAAAACCAGTTCACCACTGAATTTGCACCTTCACATATTATATATACATCTATAGAATCTAAAATACTTATATATTTAAAATCTATACCTATATATCTAAAATTTTTTGCAACTGATAGAAACTGCCCAGCGTTCCAACTATTCTGTTGCAGAGCTCTGGAAGGGAGAGTAGTTGTGGCCTTTCTCATCTCAATCTTCTTTCCTAGTGATATCGTCTGCAGGCTGAGCCTAGCCAGCCAAAACTCAGGGCAGGTAGGGGAAGTGTGGTGGGTTTTCAAGGGTGCAGCTGGCTTTGTCCAAGTATGCCCTCACTTGGCCTCCCCAGGACCCTACTGAGGGTGTACTGAAGTGATGTCTGTGAACCTTTCACAAACAATAATCCTAGCCATAAGTCTGCCCCAGATGGAAAGTGATGTGTTAGATGTTTCCCAGGGTGCCTTTCCCTTCCCTCTGGGATGCCACAGATATCTCTCTATAGTAACTTGCACTGTACAAGTTGTAGGACTTTTCCACCATCCCACTCTTAGCCAAACTAAATTATAGCAAAGAACAGCACCATTGCATATTTTTATTCCATCCATGTAAGAATGTCAAGGTGAAGTATGAAAGTTTGTTTTTATGACCCTCAGTCATCTCTGTAATGAAGGATTTTCTTAATATCTGAGCCTTGGTAAAATTACCACCAAACCCATCACCTCTTTCCAACCACAACCCTCATCCCATGTATGAAAGAACAGTTCTACAGGCAGTGGGCTAACCTTTCTACCTTTCATTTGTCCTCATTCTAGCTGTGCCAATAGCAGCACTCAGGTGAATCAAATCTGTATCGAAGTTTTAGGAGAATTGCTTGCTCTTCCCGTTTCTTCTGTATGTCTCATTATCCTATAACAAACACACTTCAACCTTTTGTTCTCCAAATTCTAGCCCAAATCTTAATTTTAATATCCAGTTCACTGGGAGACATACCTCTCCCAGAGTATTTCTACATATTTGTCTCACTGCATTTCATTTTTCAAAGCCCGGTTTGAGCAGTAATAAACTGACCTACCTAACTCTTTATTTGGAGAAAAGTTCTCAGTCTTCAAACCCTAATCCTAATTGTCCTCCCAATTGGAATATAACCCAAGACGGTTTTATCTATTAAAACAAAAACCATAATGTTTCCAGCTAACTCCCTCATTTTACTTGTCTGAGCAGCCTGCAGGAAATATTCTTTAGGACTTTACTTCCAGAAATGTAAACATAACCATAACAATAACACTATACAGGAACAGACTGTAGTTGTATTTTGCAAAAATACCACCCCCCCCCCAAACAATCTAATTTCTCTTCTAAGCCATGTTTCTCACTCTACTTCTCCAAAGTCAACATTTAAGAGTGGGCAGCAGAAGCCGTGGAGGGCAGAGCACAGTGCCTGGCCCTGGGGCACAGCTGGCATCAGTGGTGGGGGTTTCCCCTTCGCTCTCCCAGAGCTGGGTGTTGGGGTGACGACAGGGGTGATTCAGGGGCCGGGCGCAGTGCTGCCTGCCTGGATGCAGCGGCAGTGGAACCAGGTGCTGGCGCGGGTGGGACAGACAAGGATGTTGTAGCGGGGCTGCCCTGCCAGGGCCTCCTGGCAGGTGGGGCAGGGGGACAGGTCCTGCTGTATTGCTCGCACCTGCTGTACCCATCCGTGCTTCCAACAGATGGTCCTGTGGGATGGAGGTGAGAGCTTAGCCCCAGCCCTCTTCTGCCCTGGCGCTGGCTCCAGCCCTGAAGGGTGGCTGCACTCACTTGAACTCCCCAAAAAACTGGGAGATGCAGCATCGCTTGCTGCCACAGGGGAAGTGAATGTTTTGGAAGCATCACCAGCCCTGGCAGGTGACTGAGGTGCCTCACAGCCGGCAGGTGCAGCACTTCTGGGGATGGCAGAGAGGCAGCTGATGTCAGTGCCGCATGCCCCTGGGGAGCCTGGTTAGCCCTCGCCCAGCACAGCCCCATGACATTTCGGAGGGCTGCCTGGCCAGTGACACTGGACCACTCATGGAGTCATGTACCCTCTCAGATCTCCAAATTCTGCAAAAATGGGCCTTTTTGAATGCATGAGGATTTGTTGAGTTACTTGCAGATGGCTGCCAAAGAAACCTCGAAGGGTGTTTCTGGCCTGTGCAGAGACGGCCACAGGACATGGGGACTATGGTGGGAACACATGTCCCCATGGCCTCTCCTTCCATGCCACCCACTTCAGCTCTGTCTGGTGTTGGGGACGAGGAAGCTGTAGAAACCCTCCTTATTGGCCCCTCTCTGTCTCACCCCACTGGTGTGGTAGTGCAAGAGGGGAAAAGAGAGTGTGTGCTGGGGGCTGTTGGAGGTGTGGTGCTGGGAACTGGGGGTGTCAGGCCCCAAGGACTCAACAGGAAGTTCTCGTGGATGCAGAGCATCTTGTGCTGATACAACTGCCCAGTGACCTTGGGCCACAGTCAGCCTGCCAGCACAGCCAGCACAGTGCCAGGGGACGGAGGCATCATCACCCTCATCGCTGTGCCCATGGGGGTAGTGCTGGGAGCAAAATAGGGGAGAGGCCAGAACACTTTCCCACGGTGTGGGGGCCTCTGCTTGACCAGGCATGCACTGGCCAAAATCTCCTCTGGCAGGTGCCTGGGGGCTTGTTCTGTGCTCACCTTCCTCCTCGGGGACCTGACGCTTCATTCTGAGTGAGGGTAGCGCACAGGAGGGTCCTGCCAGCTCCTCCAGCAGTGCTGTGGGACAGGGCGGGAGGAGCTGCGGCACCCTGCAGTGCCCAGACCTCAGCTCCATCACCACAAGAGGCTGTAGTGAAGGAGATGGCTGGGCGTGGGGATGTTGGTTTGGTTGAAGACTATCTTGATCCTCCAGTGTTTGAGACAAACACATCACTGAGCTGGTGGTGGATGCCCAGCGGGGCTGCCCGGTTCAGGAGCTCCGTGGCTCAGCTCCACACATGCTGTGTGAGGAGGGCCCTGCGAAATGGGCCACCTCTTGGTGAGATGCCAGCGTCACTCCACAGGGCTGTCTGAGTCATGCTGGATCTGAGCCCAGGCTGAGGAGGTGGAAGCACTACAGGAACTGCCATGGGGCCAGGCCTCCCTGCCCAGGGGGAGGTAGTGAAACTAGGGTGCAGTGAGGGCCAGCGGGTCCCTGTGTGTCCCTTCTCTAGTGTCAAGGCTCCACCAGGGACTTCAAAGACACCCAATGGGCTTGACAATCCAGACAATTTCTTTAAGCATCAAAAATTCTGACTTCTCATTAACAGGCATGTTGATACCTTTTAAATCATTTTTATATTTTCACTTTCTTAGCAAGCAAAATTTAGTTTAACAAATCTGTGTCAATTAGAATAAATTTTCCCATTGAAGAAGGATGCAGCTCAAGCACTTTGTTGTGTGTCTGGTGCTGAGGGCCGGGCCCACTGCACTGGGATGGCAGCAGGGAAGGGTCAGTTCTTCAGGGCCTGGAAATGCTTCAGATGTGCCTGGACCCAGTGTGCCTTGGGGTCTGCGCACAGCTGGATCCCCTTCTTGGTGACCAGACTGCCGGGAGAAAACCAGTGTTAAGGTGCTCAGCTGGGGCAGCGAAGTGCCTGCGGTGTCTCGCTGGCAGAACTCCAGGTGTCCCCAGCCATGCCCCCTTCCCCCTCCCAGCCACTCTCAGCCACTCTTGGGGCATTCCTGGGCTGTTACACCCAGAGCCCCGGCAGTGTTGGGCACTCACACCACTCCTGGCAGGGAGCACGTGTTGCTGGTCATGTAGGCGGAGGAGATATTAGCACGCGGAATGCTGCGGGACACATACTTGACGCAGCAGGAGGTGGCCACTGTGGGACCAGAGAGAGAGCCCCAGTGAGACCCCACACTGCGGCAGAGGCTCTGCCTGGGGCTCCCAGGGGATTCACCATCAACTGTGCTGTAGTCCCCAGGGACATCCCCTGGAAGCCTCCATCGCCAAGGCCTTCCCACCCCTGGTGATGACCACCCGCTCCCAGCCCTTCCCATGGACACGAGGGTCCCATCAATGGGGTCGGGGTTTTCTCCCAGGGAGGGACAGCAAACCTGGCTTCTTGGAAGACACAGCAGTGCTGGACTCACCAAGAGGGTTGTGAGCCGAGGAGCAGATGGCCATGACGAGCAGAATGGCCAGGGTGGCTGCAGGGACCTTCATGGTGCTGTGGGAGCTGAGGGAACCACCAGTGGGGCTGGAGCTGGCGTGACTGCAGGGCTCTCCTCTGCACAATGCTCAGTCCCTGCTGCTGCTGCTCTCCTTTTATCCCATGGCTGCTGGGTGGGCACAGGGTTTCAAGGAAAGAGAATGGATGCATCATACCAGGGAAATTATGTAAGGGTTGCCCAGTTTTGCTGAGCTAGAGAAGGCAAGGAAACCACAGAACGGGAAGTGCTGGCCATGGGGCTGCAGCTTTGGATTCGTTTTGGGGAAAGAGACTGGCTAGAGCCCAAACAGTTGCGACACCAACCCTACTGGTGCTGCAGTGATCCCACCAGCCAAAAGCCAGGCTGGGGCATGAAGGTCCATAGCCAGAGCCCTGAGAAAAGGAAGAAAAAGGAGGAAGGAGCAGGTTTTGCAGTTTTCTTTCTGAGTATGCGCTGATAGGGGCATTTGGGAATTACCTTCTGGGGTTGCAGATGCTGCCCTTTTTCAGTCACGCTACAGTCTCTTTGACGTTTATCTGCAAGGCTGCAATGAGCTGATCTCAATGGTTGCCAGAGGAATCCTCTCTTCCCTCCAGCTCCTACTCTTATTGCCCTATCTACTCCATGACACTGGTGTATTTGCTTTTTTGGGGGTATGCCAGGTGAGAGAGCCTAAATGGCATGAAGTTATCCTGCTTGGAAAGAAGTGGGCAAGCAGTAATTGCAACACCGTGACTGTCGAGAGGCTGCAGACCGCAGCCAAAACTAAAATCCTTAGACAGAGAGGTGTCAATCCTCTACTCACCCTGGGGATGGAGAGGATGGCAAGCCAGTCCGCACCTTGAGACCACTGCTCCAGCCGTGGAGCAGGGCAACAGAGTCCAGTCATAGAGTCCTAGAATCCTAGAATGGTTGGAGTTGGAAGGGACCTTAAAGATGATCTAGTTCCAACCCCCCTGCCATGGGCAGGGACACCTTCCACTGGCCCAGGTTGCTCAAAGCCCCGTCCAACCTGGCCTTGAGCACTGCCAGGGAGGGGACAGCCACAGCTTCTCTGGGCAACATGTGCCAGGGCCTCACCACCCTCACAGTGAAGAATTTCTTGCTTATGTCTAATCTACCCTTTTTCAGTTTAAACCTCTCCTTTTTTTTCTGTAGGCCCCCTTTAAGTACTTGAAGACTGCTATATGGTCTCTTCAAAGCCTACTCCAGGCTGAACAACCCCAATTCTCTCAGCCTGTCCTCACAGGGGAGGTGCTCCAGCCTCCTGATCATCTTCTTGGCCTCTTCTGGACCTGCTGCAACAGGTCCATGTCCTTCTTGTACTGGTGCCCCCAGCGCTGCAGGTGGGGTTTCACAAGAGGAGAGTAGGAGGGGAGAATCCTCTCCCTCGACCTGCTGGCCACACTTCTCTTGATGCAGCCCAGGGTACCATTGCAATACCAGTTGCAATTCAGTTTGTAGGTGAAAATGCTGAAAAACAATTCTATCTGCAGAATTCCATCACACCTTTTTTTATTTTTTATTTTTTTTAGGTATTCAGCATCCATTAATTGAGGTTCATAAAGTTTTAATTTCCTCCTTTGCTCCTAGTCCAACCCTGAATTACTGATTTATACTTTAATCAGGTTTTAATATAATTATTAGCTCTTTTAATCACTCCTTCCATCTCTGTTTCTGAGGGTTAGAAGATCCATGAGTAATGGGAGTTCTGCTTTCCCAGTTCTCTTTGTTCCTACTTCTGTCCTTAAACTTAGCCCCAGCTGTAGCCTTAAATACAAACTAAGCATATCCATTATCCCTCCTCACTGATCTTTAGTTTTGCAGATATGCATAATCCACCGGTGAAATGAAATTAGAGATGTTTAATTTCCCAAAGTATAGTATATTCTATAAGTCCTAACTTATATTATGACAAACCTGAACCTATTTGAAAAGATACTCCATTAGTATATTTGATGGTCATGCTCCACTCTGCTGCTGTGGTCTGAGTAACTTGAATTCTGCTGACTTTCTGCCTGCTTCTCTATATTCAAAAGCGTGCAAAGGTCTTACAGATATTTAACAGAATCTTAAACATATTCTTGGGACCACTATAAAGACCAAAAAATGAAAATAACTGCTAGTATCTGCAGATCCTGATTTTATGCTTGGTTTTGTAAGTCTGCAGTATCCCAACAATATATCCAAATCATAAACTCATATTTTCCTAAATGTTTAACTAGACAAGAGCAAAAGCTGAAGCCTGAGGTAAGTGACCCATAACTCTTCCAAAATTAATTACTTTAGTATAATATAACCTTGTCTCTGCTGAGAACATCCAACAGCATACTGGACAACAAATCATGTCCCGCTACTCCTCTTTAACCTAACACTAATTGTAAACCACCACTAACAGTCTCCTTAAACGCTCCCTATCTTGCCTGTCCTGGTAAAAAGTACATGTACACGCATCTTTCAGTTCTAATTTAAATACATTTAGGACATTTTATGTATGGGAGGCAAATAATTTTGAAACTACATTATCTGGGTTTTTTTTGTTTGTCTGTAGGCTACTTTTTAGTTAAAATAGAAGCTACTCTTTGACCGACCTTTTATCTTCATTGAGATAATATAATTAATAGATCCTTTGTGTTTATCTAACAAACTATAAAAGCAATAATAATTGAGTCTTGGCAATAATATTTATGTATATTTATAGTCCCTTTAGAAAGATGCACTACAAAACCCAATTAAAGTTTTGAGGATGACAAGCAATTAAGAATCCTAAATTTCTTGGTTGAGATTAGTTATCAGGAACCTATTATATCTGTGCTATAACTATGCTTTTCCTCATTTAGAAGAAGATTAATCCAGATCCCAGCACTGTTTAGTGCTTTAGTAAATTAACCACATCATAGCACATATCTTGGACAGATACTCAATCAAAGAATACCTTCCTTCCCTGTCTATTTGGAAGAGAAGCAATGATATAATCCCTTTCTGAAGAATGAAGCAAGAAAGAAAAACAAGATCAGGTACTACCTTATTCAGAAGTTCCCCCAGTTACAGATTTCCGTACAGTTCTGCTCTCATCTGTGAAATTTAGCATTTTCTACTTTCTAGGAAGAGTTTTTTCTTTCTTTTTAGCAGACAGCTTTATATCTATAACAACCTCACAACTTTGTGATTATTAAATATTACAGAATAAAAATAGAAGAATATATAAACGTTTCTCCAAATACGTCAAGGTTTGCCTGTAGCTTCATCTGAGATACCACAGTACTTGAGCATACTAACATCAGTCCTAGTACATTGCCTATTTCTGTTTTGGTGGGAACCACTCTAGATTTCACCCTCCTGAACATCTTGACTTTTTCCCTTGGTTCTGTGTGTTAAATAACAGAGTTCAGCCAAGGTTGATCTAAGATAACTGGAGATCCTCCATCCACAAGTTCAAATCAGCTGTCTTGTTCTGCAAGAGACTATACAGACTCCCTAATGACAAGATTCAGTCCCAAAGAAGTGTGAGAACTGTGAAGAACAGGCAAAGCTGGCTTGAAGACATCTGTCTGTTCCATTTTAATGGTGATGTCAAACCAAAGCTTCCTGGGGTACATAGCACAGCAGTTAGCTACAGCCTGATCTTGTGAAGAGGCACAAATGTACCTTAACACTATATATAATTTTACTGGCTCTACTTGCGTCTACGGGATTTTATTCTGCATTGTCTTGATAGTTCAATATTTTTTTGGTCTTATAAAGATCCAGGTCCATGCTGGTAAAGCACTTTTAGGTTAATGTCAGGAATTGATAGCGCAGGAACCTTCCAAATCAAGATGGCTTTGGAGATGCCTGATTGTTGCTTCGTTGGTGACACCTTCTCTGTGTCTGGTGTCTGCCTCTCAGTATGGTTTTGTAAACAATGGAGTGATCCTATTTCTTTTACTTTCTTTTAGTAACAAAAGAGAAAGCATAATTCTGGATAAGCATAATTCTGGATCTTATATGTTCATTTTCAGATAGATACATTGTACCTTATACTCTATTTCACCTTAAATTAAAGAACATTTATCCAGGTGTGCTTTAGATTTTCCAGGACAAACCAGACAGAGATATGTATCTGGATTGGTACTGAGCTGAAATCTCTCATCAAAGACACAATCCTCTTTGTCAAGGGGTTAAACCTTTTTCGTTACTGTGTGCTTTCTGTAAATCTCAGACTAATCAGAGTCAGCTTTTAGACATCAATTTTGTCTACTTCACCAGGGCTAACAGGACCTGGATTCCTCTGATACTCCCTTAAGGAGTCTGCAATAGCTCACTGTGATGGAAAGTCAGTTGTCTTAAAAATACTTTGCGCACATTCCTCAAACGGCCCAGAGACACTGTTGTAAACCTCCCTTCTCTGTGCAAACTCCATTTTCAGCTCAGAGAAGCAGTCTTCATCACAGCATCTGTCTTCGTGATTCTCTGCGTGGGTAACTCTCAGTTCCCTGTCCAATCAAACCCAGATAATGTGTCCTTTTCCAGCACTAGGAGTTTTAGGTCTGCTTTGTTCCAAGTCTGAATAATTGGAAAACTACTCTGTTGTAGTGTGGATGAAACTGGTTTTGTGGTTTTTTTTTTTTTGTTTTGGTTTTTTTTTTTTTTTAATATAATTTAGTCCATTTAATTGAGCTATGGAACTGTCTTCTTTTTCTGAAATAGCTTCTGTATTTTTCTTGGATTTAATTCTGTGCATTCAAGCAGAAAGTTAAACAACGTCAAACTGAAGAAAGTGAATCACATAATATGCTGAAAAGATGAACTGGGGAAATATTTGCTATTACATTAAATTCTTACCTATGTCCTTAATGTGAATTACTGGAATGTCAAAGAGAACTAACCACCTTGGAATTTATTTTTAAATATGTATTCTCATAAAGTGGATCCTTTCTTCTATGCACTCAATTTTAGTGAAAGAAAAAAAGCAAGTGTTGGTATAATATTATTGCAAAACATGTCTAGGTAATTCCTGTAAATGGTAACAGCTTTCTATTCTGTTGTCATTATCTTAATGACATTACTGCCTTAACTAAACTGTTTAGG